TGTGTGTGTGTGTGTGTGTGTGTGTGTGTGTGTGTGTGTGTGTGTGTGTGTGTGTGTGTGGCAGTGGCTTCTGCTGAACTAGAAAGAAAAAAACTGGGAGGAGACGGTTTCATCGCAGCCAGCGGAGGCTGTGGATCAACGCATGATGAACGAGCTTCGAAGCAACCGGAGCCAACGAGAGGAGAAGAAAGGGACCACCCTTTGAGCTTAAAGGGGGCTCCTGATTGGATAGTCTGTCCCCAAACTCAGTCAGTAAGAGCTCCCCAGCTGTGAGGCGACTGTCAGCTGTACTGGGGGTCGGGTTGGGTGTGTCTATTACTTTAAGAAACTCATTAAAGTCTCAAAGTTTGTATTATTAGGGGCGTGGCCTCTTTGGTTGACAGAAAACTGCAGTTCCTGTAATCGCCACTTGAGGCAGAAATGATTTGTTCCTTTTAGTCAGCTTACGCTCTTTAATTAGCAGCTTCTTAGTACTTTTTAGCCTCATGTTCTCATATGATGGGCAGTAAAATCAGTCGCTGTGTTTGTTTATGAACTCAGGTCAAGCTGAGCTTTTATATTATTATTTAATGTCTTCCACTTTTTGTTTTTTAAGGTCAAATAAAATTGTCTAAAGATGGTTTTTATATTTTGTTGTGATTAAACGACATGCTGACATCATCAACTAAACCACGCTGGGTTAGTTTGTGCGCCGGCCGCAGGTTTAAGGAGGGCGTTCAGTCTGTCATGACTGAAGTCGAGCGACTGCGATAAAACCATCTGCTTGTTTTTCTCTTTGATGCTGGAAAGAAGTGCTGTCACTATGACATCATAGCTGGCTAAGCCAATAGGATTAATTCTTCGTATAAAGATTGCAACAGGTTTGTTTGTCAGTCCAGGAGCTGACTCGGAGTCAGCAGGAATGTTGGCCGGTTGTCCGACTGTGGCTGGGATGCAGGGGTTCAGAGGGTCTTGTGAGAGCGCCGACCCATCACGAACCGCCACAGACCGCAGACTCGTCCTCGTTCTGTCATGTATTATTTGTGCTCGCTCCGTCCTTCATCGCTAACGTTTTGCAGATAAACGGTGACGTTAATGTGTGCAGCATTCGTGTTTCTCTGCAAACCTGAAGCCTCCTTAGGTGTCTAAAAACTGAAGTGAGGGTGTCGGCTGATGATGGCGCTCGGAGTCCGTTTGGTTCCGCGTCCCGCCGGCTGGAAGCGAGGGACTGTGAGGCGAGCAGCTTCAGAAGAGACAGACCTTTTTTTTCAGGTCGTTCCTCTTCCAGAGGGAGAGGCGATCGAACTGCTCGATGGACATCCCGAAAACACTGAAGAACTCCTCCTGAGAGAGGTGCCTCTGCAGGGCGAGAGACAGCCACAATCAGAGAGAGAGCAGGAACAAAGAAGGCACTTGTCATTTTTCACCCTGCACCGACCCCACGCTGCGTCTAAAACAACCCGACGCATTTTTCCAAGGTCGTCGAGCATCAAAGAGTTTATTAACGAAGCTGCCAAATATTAAATATGATTCTAGTGTTGTGGTCCTAAACAGCCAGCGGTCGATCATCTGAGAATATTTAAAGATAAGAGGAAGAAACATTCTCGCTCAGTCAATTTCAATAAATGTTTAATTATATAAAACAGAATTTTCTGAGATGTGACGGCCCGCCCTGGACCCTGGATGACTCTGTCCGGTCTTTAAGTGATGACATATGAACCCTGCTTTGGTCCGAGCTACTCTGAGTTTATGAAGGCTGTTGTGTTTTTAACATGTTTTGTATCTTGTTCTATTTAATCTGAAACAGTCAGTGATCACTGTCGGCTTCTCTCAGTTTTTATTGCCGCTAATCATTTTAAAGCTCAATGTTTAAACCCTTCTGCTGTAACTACAGCCCCTGCAGCAGTATATTAATGACTAACCTCGTATTGTGGATGGATTATCTCAGTTGTTCTCCTGACTGAAGTTTGGTCCGTTTACAGCATCCTGCCATGCGACTGTATTTGTCTCTAACCATCAGGAACCTTCACGTTAACTTTTATCGAGTGGAACAAAGTTGGCGTTCATCCTCCAGCTTCACTGTGCTAATGTTATGCTAACATAGCTGTGTAGCTAGCGATCACGTAGCACAACATTGTATACCAACTAGCCCAACTACAAACGTCACTGCTGTTTAGTTTTCTGTCTTCATTTATGTTGGAAGTGACAGCAGAGCTGTACGTTTGAATTTTTCAGAAGTCTCTCAGTCAGAACATGCTGTATCATGTTTAGCTGGAAGCTAGCGAGCTAACTTCCTGCTAACTTCTAACTCTGTTAAATGTAACAAATTCTGTTTTCATGGATGTTAAACTTCATAGTTACACCTGGTAAAGCAGCAACGCTGATCGTTTTATTAAAGATGAAAGAATTTAGACAGTTTTTAACTCTCAGTGATGTCACAGTGTTCGTGTGACTTTGGGACCTGAAGCGGAGTTTGGACCTGGAAACAGCTGATGACAGCAGACTAAAAGACCGGATATCGATAACGATGTGGTTTGATATCAGCACAGGTTCAGCAGCTCGAGTCGTACTGACAGAGACTTGGTCTTGTTTGTCATTTTTTTACCTCCAGCTGTGTCCGATCCACACCGGGGGGCAGTTTGCTGCGTCCTCTGTGAGTCACCACCAGCACCTCGTAGGGATAAACCTGCACGCAGACACGCAGAGGAGACGTGACGTGAGAACCACATTGTCCTCGTGTCCCGCTGAGGGGACGAAACAGCCTCACACATTTATCTGCTTGCTGCGCCCGAGTTATGTGGAAACAGGACATGTTTAATACATCCGCCCTGCTCATTCCATATTCTTATTCTATAAGGGCAGCTTTGCACAAGTGACAGTTCATAATAATCCTTCTTTATCTCACACTGACGCTCAGAGATACCCTCTATGACATCATAAAGATCCAAGAGTAGCTTGGCAGAGCTTCGGCAGCTCTACTTTCTGTACCTTGTGCTCCAGCATGCTGGGGAGAGAGTTCCCTCTGTCCATCCTCGAGTCCCCGTTCTGACACAAAAACAAACAGTATGATGAACACCGGCACCAATTATTCATCAGGAGTTTCTGCAAACAAGGTTAAAATAATGGAAAGTGTACCTGAAGCCCTGCAGAGACACAAAGAGACACAAACAGTTTCATTATTTTCTGTTACGAGTTCACTGATGCAGGAAAAAAGTCGAGTCTGAGAATGGACGTTTTGTGCTGATGTACAAGTTCAATTTTCAGCACAAAATGCTAAAATACTTCACAGGTGTAGTTTTACAGGTGTACAACTACACCTGTAAAATCCTGAACCTGAGCTTTAATGACGGACGTTTGTACCTGCAGCAGGTTTCTCCGAGGAGCTGAACTCGGCCGAGCGCAGCTGCAAACAAACACAAACAGGTTGTTGTCTTCGCTCGACTTCGTTGTCAAACCTCACAGCGAGTGTGCGGATACTCACCCTGGACAGGCCGCTCTTAGAGGGCGCTGGGAAATACACGGACCTGGAGGCGTTGGACCCTGCAGAGCAGAGGGGAGGGGCTGTGAGGGGGAAAGGAAACACTACACAACATGTGCATCAGTCCTTCCACCTGGAGATGTTTTGTTCTGAAAGGTCACGACAGTCACCTGTGACCAGGTGACATCACTTCCTGTTTCCACGATGCATCATGATGCCTTCACTGAAATCTGAACCTGAAACACTAAAACTGCAGTTTTTTAATTTGCACCAAAAGTTACAACAACTGATAAACTTTAAAAATGTTTTGCTGTTTAGAAATTTTACTTCCTCGTTCACTTTACTTTCTGTAAAGTGACGCTCATAAAATCAGAAGAATTTCAGGTTCAGATACTTTTACTAACAGCGCTTAGACTCCTTCAACTTTGCAAATTTTCTTCGTATTAAATGATATTTTTGTGGTTTTGTGACGTCTTTGTCACCATGAGTGACTATTGGTCTCCACAAAGTAGTGGTAGAATAGTTATGTTAAGCTATAAAGTTTATGTCTTGCATATTTTCCACAACCAAACCCATAATCACATACTGTGTATTATCTTACTTATTTTATATTTCTTTGTATTTTATTTGTATTTTTTGTATTTTCTTTCTGAAATCTGTACCTAACGCAAAAAATGTCAAGTGTGTGTGTGTGTGTGTACCGGCGTTGTGGCTGCGCTCTGGTAAAGAGCGGGTTTTCCTCCTCAGAGGCGCTGCAGACTTCTCCAGCTCCTCCTTCAGGATGATTTTGCCCAGATTGGACTGAATCTGACACGAGACAGAAACAGAAGACGACTTGTAGTTGTAAAAAGCATAATAATATATTAAGTAAATGGCCTGCGTTTGTATAGCGCTTTACTTAATCCCTGTGGACCCCAAAGCACTTTACACTACATTCAGTCATTCACACACACTGGTGATGGCAGCTACATTGTAGCCACAGCCACCCTGGGGCGCACTGACAGAGGCGAGGCTGCAGGACACTGGCGCCACCGGGCCTGACCACCACCAGTAGGCAACAGGTGAAGTGTCTCGCCCAAGGACACAACAACCGAGACTGTCGGAGCCGGGGCTCGAACCGGCAACCTTCCGATTACAAGAGGAACTGCCAGCTCTTGAGCCACGATCGTCCCATAATCCAAAGTATTCAGAATACGTTACTCTCATTGAGTAACGTAACGGAATATGTTACAGAATACATTTTGGGGCATGTAATCTGTAATCTGTAATGGAAAACATTTTAAAAGTAACCTTCCCAACATCTGCACATGTTTGTAGAAAGACAATAATAATGAAAAATGCATCGAGCAGTTTCACGCAGGGATCGTTTTCCTTCCACCGAAGCAGACCCTTCAGCAGCGAGCTAACACGCAATAAGAGCTGAAGAGGACCAAACATCAACCTCCAGGTCTGAAGAAGCACGCTGCAGCTCCTCTGGTGTCCAGCAGGGGCCGCAGTGTCCCAGAGACTCCCATGTTAAACATGCTCACAGCCTGATACACCGACTCTTCTGCCTCTGTGGGGGATTTCCTCCTTCATAACAGCTGTTTATTACTCACCTGTTTAAATCCTATTAAGGCTTAAAGTTTGAGGGGTGTGGCCTGTTTGACTGACAGGTGGATGGTGACACAGGTGACTGTAGCTGCTAGCTGTCTGCTAAGCTTCACCTGAACGGGACCTCTGTGTTTTAATGACATCATGTGACCAATAACATGGCTGCTGTGAGGTCACAGCAGACTGAGCTCAGCTGTTGGGAGAAATTCGAGGATTTGACTGATTAGCGGGTCTCTGTGTTTGACTCCGCCCTCCAGCTTCTCGTGGTCACATCTCGTTTTTAAAAAGGCAAAAGAGGAGCCAACGTTAGACAGCAAAATGCAAAGTGCCCAGAATAACGGCTCGTGTTCATCTTTTGTATACAGTCTGTGGGACGTGCAGAGTGACACAGCCGATTCTGCAAACAGACGTTTCTGACGGAGCTGAAGTGCTCTTCAGGAAAAACGTGGCTTTTATTTTGAAATGAGCCGTGCCTCTAAAGGATACACACGACAGTGAAAGCACATTTAAAGCTGTTTAACCCGTGCACAGATTATGTCTGCACACATTCACATCTCCATGATGAAGTCAGTGTTTTCAGTCTCCCACCAACCAAGCAGCAGCTGACGCAGCAGCAGTCCTCATGCTTTATTCATTGTACTGTGAGAGTTTTTAAAAGCAGCTTCTTGCATGTGAATATTTCCTGCTTTTCTGACAGTGAAGGTGATTTTTGGTGATTCCTGACCAACTTCAAACTGCTGCAGCTCATCTGCACCTGCAGCTGGCTCCGGGTCTCCCACCTTGTTCAGCTCTTGCTTCTGAAGCTTTCTGAGTCCCCACAGCTCATCATCCAGCTCTCCATCCTCCTCCTCCTCGACTTTCTGCTCCTTCCTCTTCCATTCCTTTTCTGCTGAGAGGAGAGGAGTTATGGAAAGGAGAGAAGAAGAGAGGAGCCAAGGGAACAGTGAGACAAATACGTGACAAGAAGCAGGAATAATCAGGATTTAAAGCCAGACGTGATTTTTAGATGAAAACCTGGAAAATCCCACTTTCGTAATGAACTGTAAATGTAGCACAAGGTGCGTCTCATTGATCAGAGTGTGTGTATGTATGCATTTGTTTAAACATCATTGTGAGGACCAGAAATTGCCATGCAACTATAGTTGTGGGGACTAAATGCTGACGAGTCTGAAGCATGTTTGAGGCTCAAAGTGTAAGTGTCAGAGTTACAGTTAGGCCAGAGTGAGCGGCTAGCATCGTGTCACTTAGATGTCCTCACTAAGATATGAAAGCACGAGTGTGTGTGTGTGTGTTTGGGTCGTACCAATCACGGCCAGCGAGGGGGGGCAGGGCCAGTAGTCGGTCTCGATCTTGGAGGGCTGGTTCGGGTCTGGAGGCTGAGCTGCAGGAAACTTTGAAGACTCGATGATCAAATCCTCGATGTGTTTCCCCTGAGGGACCGAAGAGGACGACACATCTGTGCACACGCACACACACACGCACACACACACACACACGCACACACACACAGTGCATGTTAAAGCAGATTAAACACAGTGAAAGGCGGCGTGCTGTTCACAGGACAGCGGCTGACCCACATTCACTCTGTTTTCATTATGTTCAGCGATACATTTATTGCAGCTTTTATTCTGAAATCGATTTGAACCTCAGTGACTCACCCTGTTTGTAGATGGGAGGCTTCTTGTAGATGTTGGTACCATTTTCTGAAAACAATAAAATCACATGTGTGACACCTGTGCTCTTCTTTGCTTGCTAAACAATAATTACTGGTTCACAGTTTGAACATGAGCTCCAGAGGACGGCACATCTGGGACTTGTTGCACTTCTTGGGTCTGACTGAGTTTCAGGTGCAGATCTTTTCGTTGGTTAATGACGTGTGGTCCAAGTATCACAGCACACCTGACTGGTGGTGCATGTACGATGCAAACTGGACTCTCTGAGTCAGCACAGTGGGACATAGAGAACTCCAGATGTGGACCAAACGTCATCAGCATCTGGAAGCGGTCTGTGTGCACAAACTCTAATTCAGTTTCACTGCTCACAAATCAACTAATAATCCCAATAGTTGTCTTTTCTGGTCCTGACATTAGCGGCTAGCACATCTCAGACGTGGATGCTGTGCTGACGAATCACTGAAGCTCATCTGGGAATCTCTGAATTTCTCGTTGTAGCCCCTCCCACAGGGTAAACACACGTGTTTGAAGAAATAAGTCACCTGATGGAGCTGCTGTTGCTAACTGGGTGAAAACCTAGCTGATGGAGCTACATCTGCACCCTTCAGTACTGTTCTCCACAGTCAGTGGGGTGAGTCCGGCTTGTGGAAGCTCGTGTTTACCTGGCCTGTGGAAATGCTGCACGGTGCTCTTCACAGTACCAGACGAGTGTGCGTTGGGTGTGGTTGGTGTGTTTGGCGTTGACGGGGTGTGTGTGCTGTGGGTTCTGGTGCTCGGGATGGTGGAACCAGGCGAGGACCCTCCAGGTGATCGGCTCTCGAGCCACTCCCTTGTCTCCTTGGACAGATTCTGGAAACACAGAGGACGGTATTTTAAAAGCGTGTCGGTGGGGAAATGTGAAGGCAGAGCCGGTGATCCTCCTCAGAACCTTCTAATGAACATGCAGGGCATCCCCATGAGGACTTTCTAAGACATGATGCCAACTGCATCGACACGACCATCAAAGCAAGACCTCCTCCATTACTACCACTACTTAATGGTCCTCAATCAGAATTAGAGGCCTCTTGAACCTTTACAGAGTAAACCTTGAAGACACGGCCGTCCCTCATTAACCAAAGAACCTCTTTTAGTGTTAGTAGAAGCACCTAAGAGACCTTTAGGATCTTCTGATTGATAACTAGAGCCTCGTTTAAAGATAACTTATGAGAAACTACTTCACATGACTTCAACCTCCTCGAGGATTCCTTGAACTAACACTTTACAGCCTTAAAAGAAACGCAGTGACTCTTAGGACGCCCCTCGTCAATGCTCTAAATGACCAACAGAGTCAGTGTGAAGAAGAGCTACCCAAAATATGACTCTAAGTAATCTGAGTATGCCTGGAAGGATGCCGTCCGAACCGATTACTGCAGCCTCGTAAGCCTCAAACAAAGAACTTCACACACATCATCCCTAAACTGTTTGAAAGGTTGTTTAGAAGCTGAAACCTGTAAAAGAAGCATCAAACCTTCTCAGTGACCACTGGGATGTATACGACCTCCTCGCTGACATCATCATTTCTGAGGTTCCACTATGTTCCTGACTACAACCTCGTTAAACATGCCAACATTAAGGTTGAGATGCTTCAGCGTCAGGATCACTTTCACAGAAGCTGGTCTGAGACAACGACAGGACGATGTTGTGCTAATAACAACCCATCACAGTCACACGCCCACAAAGCATCTGAGATCTGCTTCTGTCATGAGACCCTATATTGTCTGCATTTCCATAATATCACACTTTCATTGTAGGGCTCTGATCTGACCTTTGACCTCATCACTAGTGCTTGTTTTGTTGCAGAAGTCTCTGAGTGTAAACAGGAAGAAACTAATATAAACTATATGATGATATGTAAAGAAAGAAGGGGGGGGGGTCTTACCTCTGGGGAGGGAGGAGGAGAGATGGAGCGAGGAGACAAGGACCTCTGCGGAGAAAAAAGCAAAAATAGATGAAACGCTCGAAGCTAAAAATAGATTCAGAGAATGAAGACGAAGCTCCACAAACACAAACTCTGCTTCTGACACTGAAGTCGTTTCTTTTTTTAAACGATTGCACCAAATGTAAATTCTAGAGGATTACGTTGCAATTTACACTTTGACCTGAAGGTGGCAGTGTTCTTTACACCCAACGATTAAATCCAGACACAGAAATGCTTCACGGTAACGTGATGTGAAGCATAAATCAGAGAAGCATTTGTTTAGAGTAAAGGAAGAGTTGGATGATGACAGCAGTGCAGACGAAGACCTGAAGCTCCGAAATCAGATTCCTTAAAAGAATTCAGTCTTTGCACTTAAACAGTGGCCACAAGGCTCCCAGCAGGGGGCGCATTTAGGTAAATGTGCATTTATATGCAGATGATCAACATTTAGCATTTAGCTCTTTGTTGAAGTCTCCTCCTTCGGCTGGCTCTGCTGTTAAAAACAAACCTGTGCAGTCTGAATGCTGTGACAACAGCTGCAGCAAACGTGTGTCGTGACACAAAGTTTGGACTTTGTGCAGAATCAGCTTCAGCTGCGAGGCTCATCATTGCCCAGCAGAGCTTAAAAAGTGCCTTTTGTTTGTTTCAGTCATCAGTCTGCAGTAACCACAAGACTGTGACTGAAATCACTGATCGCTGTGCTGGACAGTCAAAAACAGGAAAACAACCGAAAACCCCACAAAACAGATGAAAGAAGGTGCAGCACACAAAACACAAAAAGCATTCTGACACACAATCTCTCTTTGTCTGACCCAATCTGCACCACAAAATACAGACACACACACACTGGGCTCGGCTGTTTTCATGAGCTGTCAGCTCTCTAAGCAGCAGATTGATGTCCGTGTTTGCAGCCAGACGCAGAGCTCACCAGCCGACTGTCAGAGCAGCGACCTGCTGCCACGCCGTCTGGTTTCCACGACTCCGGCTCTGCGCTGAGCTACAAAGGTCCCGGAAGCACCGAGAAGAAACTATGGAACAACAGGACTCTACAAGCTGCCCGACCCTGTAGATGCTAAATGCTTCTGTAGCATTTAGCTACACATAAACATCTGATCACACGCTGCATTATAAGGACAGTGAAACCAGCAGGATCTGCACATTACTTAGGTTTTAGTAAATTTGCACCATTTAAATAACTCAAAGTTAAATAATAGCTTCTACAAACGCCTGCTCATTCAGAATTAAGACTTCTAATCCGTCTCAGTCGTCTCTGAGCTGCATGTCGGAGCCGTGCTGCTTGTGAAAAGTCAAACCAGCAACCAAAAGATGCACTAAGAGGACATCTGAGCTTTAGTATCTGTGAAGAAGAAACAGTCACGATGACTAAACAATGATACGACCACCTCCCGCTCCAGAGTCTCCTCCTGTCAGACCCACCGGCTGCAGTTCACCTAGGGGGCGCCCACGAGACAGTCCTCACTAAAAAGGAGTGAATGAAGCTAAACGGCTAAAATAATCATTAAGACAAAAAACAACAACAAATAATTTTGTCTTGTTTTGTTTTACAAATCCAGCATCAGTGATGTGCTTCAGTTTTACAGGATGATATTAAGATCTGACTGTATTTAAACGCCTGCTTTGAAACAATAACTCCAGCACGCGTGCAGAAGACGCAGCTGACTGTGGCGGTTGGTTGGGAAATGGTTTGAGGTGCAGTGATGTTAGAACACGCTAATAATGACAAACTGGAGCTATCGGCTCCACCTCTTCAGCTGAAACAGGATAATATTAGAGAACATGTTTCCAGGCCAGAGCTCCACACGGTGCCTCATCTAAACAGCGCCCCCATCAGGCAGGACGTCCAGAGAGCACCAGTGTGGCTGTCAGCAGGAATCTCTAAACTATGACTGGAGGGAGACGTCACCTCCAGAGGACTGTAGCTGTAGTGCGGCTGGTAGATCATCAGATCGGGTCTCTCGATGTCCAGGATGGCTTTGTCTCTCGGTAAGGCTGCCAAGTCCTTATAGCCGATAACCCCGTCCTCCACTCTGGCCTGGGGAGAGGGGGGGGGGATTACAGATTATTACCTCCAGATTAATCTGAAGGGTACGAGAGCGCGTGTGTGTTTATCTCACCACGATGGCAGCAGCAGGGGATCCTGGGACGCCGGTGCCTCTGAGCGACAACACACTCCCCGGAGACGTCTGCGCCAGCTGCTGCTAACATACACACACACACACACACACACACACACACGCTTGTACTTGTGTCTTTGTGAGGACTATTACTGCCTCTTCCCCAGAGCCTAACTTGAACCTTTCCTTCCTAAAGGAGCAGGAGAAACGTCCTCACTGTTCTGCTTCTTCTGTCAGCTTTATTATTTCCAAGCTGGAATTGTTCTGTAACTTTATTTGTTAAATTAAAAACCAGCCCAGATGTAAATTTGGCCAATCCTCCCTTCAGCATCGCCTCCTTGTGCACCTCTGGACTTCAACACCAAACATAGACTCATCTTTGAGCTGACACGCTTCTCATGTGGAGGAACATCGTTACTGAACCACCAGGAGGACTTGTTGGTTTTTATTGTTGAGCATCGTGATTATTCAGCAGAAACATCGTCATGCTGCAGCATCTCAACAACACGCCCCCCCCCCCCTCCCCCCCGACAACTATCAGCAAAAGAAAGGTGTGGTTTACCTTGGGCATCATCCTGACTACTGATTGGTCAGTTCCTGAAGGAGACACACAAAACATGATGTTAAATAAAGAGTAACAAGTCAGACGTTTCAGCATGACAAAGCAGGAGAGGCCAGAAAGAGTGAGGCATCATGGGAAACTTTCCACCAACCTTTCTCACATCAACACGTGTATCAGCTGCTCTGGTCCACACATGAAACATGAGTCTGACAATAATCTCCTTTTGTGTTCTTTTACTGTGCTGCTGTGCATCAGTGTTTCTGTCTGTGATAGAAAGGCC